CTTCAGGTACAGCAGCCCTGGCCCCTTGAGGTGTGGCAGGCCGGATCGGGAGCACGTCCGGAATCCTAGCAGCAGAATGGGGCTGCTGACATGACCTGAGCCATGGCCATGACCAGCCAGATGAGGGGAAGACCAACCGGTAAATCAGAAATGGAAGGGTAGGCCTGTGTCTTAAGGATAGGTATATCCACCCCTTGGTAACAATAGTGAGACTTCATTTTTGTTTTGTTTATTTCCAACCTTCATTTTTTATGAAATATGACACGTGAGGAAAAGCACATAAAACAAATGTATAGTACAATGAATAATTATAAAGCAAACATCCACATGTAATCATCACCGAGGTCATGAAATAGACCCCTGCCAACACTGCCCGCCCCCATCCCTCCCAGATTACAACCTCCTTTCGAGGCAGCCAGCAGCCGAATTTTTATAATAATCACTTCCTTACTTTTCTTTATAGTTTTATCACCTATGAATCACACGGAAAGTCTTCAATTAGGACTTTCTCATGTAAATCCTAAGACCGAAGACCACAAAGGAGAACCTCTTTAATGTGGATCCTCGTCTTCTTGAGTAAATCTTGGCAGGCCCCGGGGAGATGGTGGTGGATTTGCGGTCTTCGGCATTTGGCTGAGAATGCAGTTTCGAGACTCCTCTCACTCATTGTGTTTAAGGCACCTGAGGAGCGCCGTGAGGGGCGCAAAAGTGCACCCCGAACCGAGCGCGCCCCCGGAGCTTCCGGTAGGGCAGAGAAAGCGCGGATAACATGACAGAACAGGGCGAAGGTCTGAAGAAATCCTCAGGGAAATGCTACGGGGGTTCAGAAGAAGCAGACGTCAGTTTTGCAGCAAAAAGTAGGGCAGGCCCTGTGGAAAGTGGCAGTGTGCTCGTCCGTGCATTATTTATCAAACATTTTGGGGGGCTGGCAGTGTGCCAGGAAATTAGGTAAAAGGATACAAAAATGAATAAGCTAAGATCCTTGCCTGCTCATGGCTTAATGGTTTAGTTAGCACAGATACGACTGATTTTCATATAGTATGCTTTAAATACGAAGTGTAATAGGAACGATTGGTTGCCTGGGGTTGTCAGGGAAGGTGGAAGAGCTGAGGTCAATGGTGATCCTTGAAGGAGAGAAGGATAGGAGTTTGGCAGACGCGGACGGGAACTGCTGGGTGGGAAGGGACACAAGGTCGCTGTGGGCAAAAGGTCCAGTTCATGGCGGGAAAGAGAGTGGGACTTGATAGGTAGGGTGGATGAGCGGGAAAGGTGTTCTAGGCAAGGGGAACAGCATGAGCAGGAGCACGGAGGCAAGAAATCATCATACCTGCACGTATGATACTAGGTAATTCAGTCTTGCTTCAGCCCACACACAGGCAAGGCGTGTGATTGACGGCGTGATGGTTAATTTTAAACGTCATCGTGACTGGGCCCTGGAGCCCCAGATACTTGGTTGAACATTATTCTGGGTGCACCTGTCTGTCAGGGTGTTTTGGGGTAGGATGAACATTTGAATTCGTAGACTGAGTAGATGGCCCTCCCTAATGTGGTGGGCCTTATCCAATCCGTTGAAGGCCTGGCTAGAATAAAAAGGCTGACCCTCCCTCAAGTAACAGAGATTTTTCCTGCTTTGAATTCAAACATTGGCCTTTTTTGGGGGCTTGAGCTGGCTGGCTGTTGAACTGTCACGGAAACAGCAGTTCTTGTTCTCAGGACTTAGGACATGGACTGGACCTACATCATCAGTTCTCTTGAGTCTCAGCTTGTTGACTCATCCTACAATCAACTCATCCTGTCAATTTCCATAATTATGCAAGTTAATTCCTTAGAATAAATCTTTTTAGATAGATAGATATAGACCAATATAGATCAGTCTCTGTCTCCCTTTCCTTCTCCCCTTCCCCCTGCTTTTTCTGTTGGTTCTGTTCCTCTGGACAACCCTGACTAATACAGAAGGGCAAGGGAAATAATTTTGGAAAGGCAAGCCGGTGCCAGATCACAGAGGATACAGAATGCCCGGCTAAAGAACTTTGAATCTTATTTTGAAGGCAAAGGAAAAAAAACACCAGGGTTCCCGAGCCAGAAGGTGACTTCAAAGGAGCCGAGATCGAGGAAGACAAGAAGGTTGTGCTGTGTAAAATGAATTCAAACAGAGATTGTCAAAAGGAAGCATCTAGAAATTGGATATTACCTTTGTGGGTGTAGGACTCGTGCTGCAGAAATGTCGGGAGCCCCTGGGCGTACAAGGGTTCAGGAGTCCAATGCGGATGGAGGCACTGTAGGACCCGAAGCGGGTGGGGACTGGAGACGATTTCTGGCTAATGTGACTGAAAATTGAAGTAAGGCTAGATCCAAGGGCTCAAAAAATGCCACTGGGACTTGGTTTCACTGTCTATCTCCCTGCTCTGTTTTCCCCTTCTTTTGTGGTCTCCTTCTCAAGCAGTTTCTGGCCTTGCAGCGGGAAGATGGTTGCCAGCAGTGCCATGGTTACATCCTACCCTCAGCAGAGAGATTCATCAACTGGCCAGTTCTGACCGAAGTCCCAGAATTGAGTCTTACTGGTTCTCCTTGGGTCACATGCCTGTCCCTGAAAATGCTGCTAAAATTCTCTGATTGGCAAAGCCTAGGTCATGTGTCTCTCCCCACAACTAGGGGTAGAATCCTCTCCTCTAGAGCCACAGGGATTTGAGAATCAGGGAAGGGGCTGTTGCAGAAATGGCGGTGCTGTTACCAGAAGAAGGAGGAATGGACACTGGGCTGGTAACCACAGGGGAAGGGAAACCAGAGCCCCCAGGCTGCTCCTCTTGTTAGTATGGGGCGGCTGTAGCCAGTGGGGCGGTAGGGAGGAGGCTCTAGAGGCTGGGGTCTAGGCTGGCAGCAAGGGAAGGGATAGACTGGGGTCCAGTAGAAATGCTACCGCCTTTTGGGACCGTGAAAAGGTTGGGGAGGGTCATTTTCACAAAAACCTGACAACACAAAAGACAAAGTGCCAAGTGAGTTCTTGTCCTCAGAATAGAGGCAGGAAAAGCCAAGCAGTGGGGTGACACCCCATCAAGATATTGCTGCTCATGGAAAGGGCAGACATCGTCTGGGGACATTCATGGGATTGTGAGACGGGATGAAGGAAAGGTCACCGCCAACTAGTCTTGCAGAGGGAGAAAACACAACCAGTTTTCCTCAAGTTTATGAAACTAAGCTTATGCATTTACCAACAAAAGTTACAGTAGCCCCAAACAACCTAAATTCCAATAGCAGATTGATTAGATATATATTGCAATGCCCTTACAGGAGAATACAGCCTTTAAAAATGATGTTTCAGGGGCGCCTGGGTGGCGCAGTCGGTTAAGCGTCCGACTTCAGCCAGGTCACGATCTCGCGGTCCATGAGTTCGAGCCCCGCGTCAGGCTCTGGGCTGATGGCTCAGAGCCTGGAGCCTGTTTCCGATTCTGTGTCTCCCTCTCTCTCTGCCCCTCCCCCGTTCATGCTCTGTCTCTCTCTATCCCAAAAATAAATAAACGTTGAAAAAAAATTAAAAAAAAAATGATGTTTCATTTGAGATGGAAAGATATTCACAATGTAGTTTTGAAAGGGAAAGGCAGAGCACAGTCTGTTTTGTGCAGTAAATGTGTGTACATCTCTCTCCATCTCTATAAATCTGGAAAGATATACACCAAGATGGTAATAGTTTGTATCAGTAGGGATAGGACTACACCTGAAGCTTATCTCTTCTGATTTCTCCTAACCTGCTGGGTAGTATGATAGTGTAGTGATCAATTAGGACCAGTCTCTTGGGTCCAAGTCCCAGCTCTGCCACTGCCTAGCTTGGCAACCTTGGGCAAATCCCTTAACACTTCTGAGCCTCAGTTCATGCATCAGTAAATGGGGGTAATGGCTCTTCTTCTTCTTCTTCTTCTTCTTCTTCTTCTTCTTTTTTAATGTTTATTTTTGAGAGAGTCAGAGTGAGCATGAGCTGGGAGAGGGGCAGATAGAGAAGGAGACACAGAATCCGAAGCAAGCTCCAGGCCCTGAGCTGTCAGCACAGAGCCCCAACTGTGAGATCATGACCTGAGCTGAAGTCGGATGCCCAACCGACTGAGCTACCTAGGCACCCCTGGGGGTAAGTTCCTAACTCATAGAGTAGTTGTGTGTATTACATTAACTACTATTACATGCAAAGCTGTTAGCACCATGCCTATCGTAAACACTGACAAATCTAGTTATTCTTGTGCAACTGAAAGGCTCAAAAGAAAATACGACTATTATATCAGACGTATGGGAAACAGGTGTCTTTTTTGGCCAAATAGCTGTGGTGGTCACCGATAAATGAACTATTATTAACATAAGCGATTTCCCGTTAACACTGGGAGACATCTGAGACTAAGACACAGAGTTCCTATTCTCCTGCAGCTTGCACACTAGCAGGGAAGACAGATGACAAACAGTTGGGGTGATCAGGAAGGCAGTGACATTCGAGGGCCGAGAGGCAACCAACCAAAGGCTGGTGAAGAGGAGGCAACCACGGGAAACAGGGAGCTCGAGGCCTTGCGTCAGGGAGGAAGTCCCGAAGGCAAAAGACTGCAGATTTGGCTGGAGCAAGGGACAGTGTGGTATAGTCAGATGGAAAGCGCGGGCGCGCCATGGAGGACCTGATGCAGGCCTGGGAGGGAGGTGGGCAGGAGACCATCCAGGCAAGACACTGCCCCTCAGGCGAGCCATTGCCTCCGTCTTTTTTGCAACATAGGAAAAATACTTTGCTTCAGAAGGTTGAAAAGATCAAAAGCACTGTCAGTGGCAGCGCTTTGCAAACGACTGTTTATAGTACCATTACATACACGACCATCGGAGAAAGAGGGGCAAAGCCTAGCAGGGAACCAGCAGCGAGCCAGCCGCGCTGGCCCGCGCGTGCGCGGTGATCTGTCCGAGCCGGGGCGGCCGATGAATGCAGGCCCCGCCTCCAACCGCGCGGGTCCCTCCCACTTCCGCGGGCACCCAACCCTGCGTCGCCTGCGTGTTGACGTCAGGCGCGTGCCCCTGTCCGGCAGTCGAGGAGACCCCGCGCAGTGCTGCCAACGCCCCGGCGGAGAAGCTGAGGTGAGTGCGGGGCCCGAGGCTCCCCGCGGGAGCGACTCCCCCACTGTCCCGTCCCCGCCGCGCGTCCCCCGGCTTCTCCCCGTCCGCGGGGGTACCCCGCCTTCTGGGATCCCGGGAACCCTGGGAGCGCGGGGCGCGGGAAGGGGTGCTCGGCTCGCGCGGCGCCGTCCGGGCGAGCGCGGGTCCGGGTTCTCTCCGGGAGCAGAGGGTAGAGGGTGGCGGCGGGGCAGGCGGGGGAGCCCGGCCGCGAGAGGTGCGCGGCCCGGGCGCGGGGTGCCGGCCTGATGGCGCGGGCGGGGCCGGGCTGTCACCGGTCAGCGGCGGAAGGAAGGGGTCACACCCATCCCGGCCTCCCGGGCTCCCCTCCCCCCCGGTCCGGCTCCGCCGGCCCCGAGGGCGGGTGGGCGGCCGGCCGGCCGGGACCGCGTAGCAGCTCGCGGCCGCCGGTGACTCGGGCTCTCGGGCCGGGTGTGCTCCCTGCGCCCGGGCTTGGACTTCCTGCTTCGCCGGGCGCCGCCGCGGACATTTTGCGGCGGGCGGGGGGAGGGGAGCGGAATCGCGAGCGCGGCGGGGAAGTGGCGGCCGGGGAGGGGGCGGCCAGCGGACCGCCCCGGGCTGTGCCTGCGACGCCCTTTCCTCCGCAGCCCCGCGGCCCGACTCCCCGTCCGGCGGGGCGGGCCTGGGAGCTGTTTCCCCAGGTTCCTTTATTCCGGCCTTAGGTTGAGTTCCTAGCACCATTTCCGTTTGCTTCTCCAACTCTCCCTGCTTATTCAGCTGAAGCTTCCCTTTCAGGGAGTTACCTAACCACCTCTCGAAACTGTCGTTCTGCCGCTTGCTTAATTCCTCTTATTAGGGTGAAATTTTCTTTGTTCGTTTGTTTTTTCCTCCCCTTTAAGTCTAAGAGAAATGCAGTGTGGAGGATTACGTCATCGCAATATAAGGGGTGAGAGTTTTAACTCCTACAAGTCAGGGACTCACCGAATGAAGACAGCGTTTTTGCAGCCTCGTTTGGGGCACTCAGTGGCATATCCTGCCAGCTTCCTTACGCATCATGTTCATAGATGGGGCTGTGAAATCTTTCGGCCGTCTCAAAGGCCTCTAAAAGTCGGGGAGGTTTGCAACCTCAAGATGAGCTTGTGCCAGAGAGTAAAGCGAAAGACAATACCGACAGCCACTTGTGTAGGCAGTAACTTTGAAGATCCTTTTATAGTCGAATGAAGGGATTTGTGGGAGCTTTTCTCTGGTCCAAAATGACTTCCAGGCTGTTTAACTTCTCCCACCTGACTTAAGTGATGCACAGTACAGACCTAAGCCGGCTCACGTGCGCTTTTTTGTGGCCGAAAGCGAATCAGTTCATTTTACGCCTTACCTTTGCTTGCTAGACAATTTAATTTTGTAGTTAAAAACGAATTTTGGGTTTTTAACCAAAAAACGCTTAAGTACCATGTTCAGGCTTTTGGGATCGCAGTATTTGTTCCCCAGAATATTAGGTACATCCCCAACTGTACGTCTTTCATTGACTACAGAGATACAGCACAGAAAAATGTTAGCATTGTAAAGCAAATGAGATCCCATTGTGTAATGCATTGTTATAAGGGTAGTTCTTGTTGGAACAAGTACTTTCCCATTGTTTCTTGTGTGTAGAGAGAACATTGCTTGTTAAGAAACACTTAAAAGAAGTGGTAGGTTTAAATCAACTTTTTGTGGTGTGTAGGTGTCGGAGAGGATTGAATAGGTACTGAACTTGGATCTTCTGAAACACTTTGTCATGTGGTATCTTGTTTTAAAAACACCTTCTGCTGCCTTATTTCTTGAGAATTCTACATTTAAGAAGTTTAAACATACATCAATTTGCATTTTTTTTAAATATAGGAAAATAGTTTGAATTTACAGTTAAAAAATTTTTTTTTATGTTTACTTATTTTTGAGAGAGAGAGAAAGAGAGCGTGAGCAGGGGGAGGGCAGAGAGAGAGGGAGGCACAGAATCCGAAGCAGGCTCCAGGCTCGGACCTGTCAGCACAGAGCCCGACGCGGGGCTCGAACTCACGAACCGTGAGATCATGACCTGAGCCGAAGTCGGACGCTCAACCGACTGAGCCACCCAGGTGCCCCTGATTTTACAGTTTTTAGACAGAGATGAGAGATGGATAGTTAACTGAGTATTAAAAATGAGCTGTTTTCCAGCAATTTCTTCAAGAAATTAGGTATCACGTCCTCTTGAGATGTTTTTATATACTAATCAAAACCTATAGTTGGGGCGCCTTGGTGGCTCAGTCGGTTAAGCGTCCGATTTCAACTCAGGTTATGATCTCACCGTTTGTGGGTTTGAACCTGTGTCCTGCTTTGCTGACAGCCCAGAGCCTGGAGCCTGCTTCGGATTCTGGGTCTCCCTCTTGCTCTCTGCCCCTCGCCTGCTTGTGCTCCGTTTCTGTCACTCAAAAATAAATAAAGATCTTTAAAAAAAAAAATTAAAACAAAAAACCTATACTCCGTTAAATCTAATTTTTTGGGAATCTAAGGCCATTATTATAGCTAGGGTAGTCTCAGGGGGCTTAAACTTCAGTGAAATTCTTAAAGCCCAAAGACCAAATCTTTATTTATTTATTTATTTTTTGGCAATTTCAAGATTTGTTTTCTTCAGATACTTTTCCGTTTAGAACTTTATGGTCTATTAGAAAAGTACTTCTAGTTATTTTTAAGATGGTTACACTAATAAAATGTTTTGATCCAAAAGCTGTCACATTTGGAAAACTTTGAAGTGCAACTTACTGTGCCTGTCTGGGAGTGGTATTTATAGGTGTTCTTGGAAGTAAAAGTCAGATTGTACTTTTATTTGTAGATACATTTTAGATGCATTTATTTAGTGTTCTTAGGGTCTTTTTGAGAGGTCTATAAGGGCTTCCTCTGTGGGGGCAGGAGGGATTACTATTTTGTTAACTTATGTCCCATAAATAGTTTTCACATATCCTCCTATATTAAAAGGCTTCACTCTAGGCTTTTATGATAATACCTTATTCAGTGTTCTCTTTCAAATCTTTTAGTGTCCCCAGTAGAATGTAAGTGACATGAGGGCAGGATTTGACCTGGCATGGTCACCCCTATATCCTTAGCACCTAGAATAGTGCCAGACATATACCAGATCTCAAGAAATGTTTGTCAAACAAGTGAATTTAAGATGTCTGAGGGTTAACATTTTCATTTTGTGCATATTCCATAGACTTGTTTACTGTGTTTCCTGAGACTTGTGCTTGGTCAGCCATATCCATGTTCGGGCCCATTGAAGTGATGATTACTAATCTGCTCTGGCTTGATTTTATCCATCTGTTTAGTCCAGTATCTTCTGCAGCTCTACTGTGTGGACTGTTCACCATTGCTTAGAAAGTTTTTTTCTAATGACCAGTTCTTCCTTTTCTAAAAATTATTAGACTTTAATGTTCGCTTCTTTTCTCTGTTTCTTTTGTTTGGATAGCAGCTTATTTTTGCCACTTTTTCCACTCTGCTCAACAGTATCAGATTCCTGGTCATGTTGTGCTTTGTCCCTTACCAGTTTCTACTTTTAGTTACTCATCCTTTCAGTCCAAAATATTTTTGCTAAAGCAATTTTCATCACTTGTTATTTCAGCTATGTCGGCTGCTGGTGCTATTATAAGTCCTGGATATCAAAACTCTTCTTCACTAGTTGCCCCTGGAACATTGGTCTCAAAATGCTTGTTGTGTGAAGTGAAACCAGGTGGTTTTTGTTGTTGTTGTTGTTGACTTGTTTATTTTTTTTATTTAAAACTTTTTTTTAAAGGGTTTCTTTTTAAGTAATCTCTGTACACAGCGTCAGGCTTGAACTCACAACCCCAAATGAAGAGTTGCACACTCCTCCGACTGAGCCAGTCAGGTGCCCCATGAAACCAGATGTTTTCTTCTAAAAAAATATTTTAGAGAAATATTCTCAGATGTTTAGCTGTTATGAAGTCCAGAACATTTTCTAATATAGGAAAAAACTGTATTGTTAAGTCCTGGGATCCACTAATAATTGGCTGTCACCTCTGTTGCTTCCTCTGTTCTTAACACTTGCGTTGTTTTTTTCAAAAGTAAGCCATTTTGATTTGCCATCTTAATTCTGCTGCTGTGTCTTCAGCTAGACTGCTAGTGTTATAATTAAAGGTCTAGACTCTGGAACTAGACTGCCTGGGTTCAAATCCAGGGTTATTAATTAATCCTGGGTTATTATCTATGTGCAACCTAGTGTCTTTGTGACTCAGGTTTACCTTCTGTAGAATAGGTCCAGTAATCATCCCTACCTCACAGAGTTGTTACCAGAATCAAATCAGTTAATCTGTGTGAAGTACTTAAGACAATTCCATGGCACATACTGAGTGTTCTATAGGTGTTTGTTCTTGTCATTATTACAAGGTCTCTTAGGCTCCATGTTTGAGAAGCTGAGTTTTCCCCCAAATCAATATTTTAATAACCATCCCTTCCCCAGATTAATCTCATGAAACCATACAAATTATTATTATTACCATTTTTAAGTGTTTATTTTGAGAGAAAGAGAGAGAGCGAGAGGAAGTGCACCGGTGTGCACGACAAGCAGGGAAGGGGCAGAGAGAAGAATCCCAAGCAGGCTCTTGTGCTCACAGCCGATTCTGGGCTCTATCTCATGAACTGTGAGATCATGACCTGAGCCGAAATCAAGAGTTGGTTGCTCAACGGACTGAGCCACACAGGTGCCCCCAAACCATAAAAATTATTAAATGGAGATTGTTGACTGTTTTAAGTTTTTGTCCACTGTCTTAATCAGTGTGATGTAAACAAGGGTGTAAAGTTAAATACAGTGTGTGGACTATGGACCAGCAGTGTAAGATCAACCTGGAGCTCCATCCCAGCCCTACTGAATCAGAATCTGCATTTTACCAAGATACCCACGTGATTTTTATGCACATTAAAGTTTGGAGCATCCTCGTTAGGACTGCTCGAGTGATATCTTAAGGGATTTCAGAAACAGTGTA